ACAGGTACACTTTTTTTTAAAAGCGTACTGTTTTCATCCTTTTTTAGATCCTTCTACGTTTTAGCCGTTGTGTCGAGATTTTGTTGTTGCTCTTTTTATTTTTCACAGATCAGCGCTCCAGTGACTTCGGACTCTGCTACGAGAATCACCTTCAAACAAAAATGAATGTACAGGAATCAAAAATAAGACACTGAATAAGTAAAAAACAACAAATAAATAAAATGGCACTTTTTCAGCATATTCAATACAATTTTTCCCTCCAAAAAGGAAACGGTAAACATTTATAAATAGGAAGAAAACATAAGAAGAAGAGGAAGAAACGTCCACGCACGCGCACACAAGCACAGCAGCGAGCATAACTTGGAACTCATGCCCTGATGATAAACATTACAAAAATATACATTTCTGTACAGCCTTGCATAAGAAAGAATAACACACCCTCACTTGAACAGTTTCAGTTAAAAATACAATAATAAAAATAAAAATAAAAACAGCAAAACAATTATCGTCGGGCGTAGCATCGGACAGACCCATTCAGCAAGTGTTTTTGTTTACAGTGAGAGTTAGTTGAGTTATGGTTCCTTACAATTGGCTATGCTTATTGGGTGGAGCACGCACAGGACAGCAGACACACACACCTACACACACACACAGTGAGTGGTCGCTTCACTCCCGTCCCCAGGAATGGTTGAGTCAGTGCCATATTCACAGATGAGTATTTTTAACTGCTGGACGTGCCAGATGGGGCCACGGGCATCATCTTAAAACAAACAAAATTAAAACAAAACCATGAATGCTACTCATGCTGTCAGCTGATCGGCTGCTTCGGCTGATGAATGTTGGAAATAGCTTCATCAAACTGCTGGCTCGACGTCTCTTTATCTGGCTTTTACGATTTCCACCAGAATTGGATCAATTCTTCACTTTGGATTTATTTTACCCTCGTGAAATCTTACATACTGTGGCTCAAGCCAACACTGACGGAGAAAACGCAACAAACAAACCTTGTACTGCACGACTTGGTCTAAAGATATGTTGGTTTGATAAAACCAAAGCTTGAATATGAAACTAAAAAAAAGAAAACTCTAGCTCAAATCTTTCTAAAGAAGAAAATGACCATTCCTAAAAATATTGATACTTTGATACTAATATATTAGTCACTCTTGTTAAGGTGAAAGAACAATAATTTTCTCAAACATGTTTTTCATTGGATTTAATTTATAATTGAACCATAGACATCTGCCAAATTTGTGGCGTATCGCTGAAAGGTCTTGATAATTTTTCCAAATAGTTTAATTAAATGATTTGTAGTCCAATGGAAACTATATCGGTTAGCTTTCAGAGTGGCAGCTTTTTATATAGCAGAAAAGCGAAGAATTTTTTTAAAGCAAGTTTTTGAATGTCAAAATGCAATAACCTGGGTGAATTAGGAGTACAGTGTTGGCCAGAATATTTAGCTTAATCTTTCTTATTTTGTTTTTACAGTTTTTCTATATCAAAAAAACCAAAATATAATTTTTTTTAAGCTAGGGAAAACTGCCAGTTGGAAATCAAAGGTTTGAGTTATATTTGCACATTGGTTGTGCTTCAACATAAATAACAAATCTCTGCAAGATAACTGTTTTACCAATCCCTGTGTGAAAATTAGCCAAAAAACTGGCCATCAGTAGCTAGCCACAAAATTTCTCAAAGCAATTTTCTCCACATGGTTAAAAGTCCAGACTTTGGACTCGTTTTTGAATGACTATAAATCATTGTAACTTCTTTCTGCTGTGGCAAAATTTGATATCCAATACATTAAGAAGATTAAAAAGTTTCACCTAAAAACCAGCTATGCTAGGTTAGCATTAGCATATGGCTAAAAGTAATGCGAGACCCAAAATAATTGGATGTTCTGGAGATAATTTCCACCAGCAGTAAAATATGGGAATTCTGTGACTCAGCTTTCTCGCTAACATAAAACACAAACTTGTTCCCTTTCAAATCCAGTCCATAGCTTTTTATCTTTTCAGCCACCGTTTAAGCTGCTCAAGAAGGTCTTTACATATTTCAGGGAACTGTTCTTCTTGTGCACCTTTTAGAAATCAGACCAAGTCAGGTACAGAAACAATACAGCCCTCACCAAATTCATCACAGCCCCGATTGTCCCATCTAGCATTTCCAAAAACAAATGCTTGGAGTTGTTTTTTGACAAAACCTTATAGACATATGACCTGCAAAGGAAATGTCTGCATCCACTTTTAACGTAAAATGGATTCAAGGATTGATTTTACTTTCACTTTGTTTATTCTCCAAAGTACCAAACTATTACATCCATCTCAAGCCTCTGGGTAATTGAATGTGTTTTACCTAATTATTGATGCTAGTGATTAACCATTAGGCAGTTCCATCAATGCAGTGTTGGTACAAAAGAGAGGTGGTCAAAGCTTCTTTGACAGATGAGTTCACCTTATACAATGTTTTTAGATTTTTGTTTCAAAGATTTAGTAGTTTGGATACACAGCCATCCATTCAGATCATTTCCTTTTAAATCCAATATGAAGTCAAATTCTCTGTTTGTTATTTTTTCAGCTACGTTTACAAGCTGACCACATTTCTTTGTCTCTACACCTTCATTGTGGCTTTTTGTACACAGTAAAATGCAGCTGGACAAAGTATATTTTGCTCCATATAATACCAAAAGGGAGGAAAACCAAAAGAAACGAGACACAACCGAAAGAACTTGTCTTTGACAGAAAATTGTGCAGCTGTTGTTTTGCTAACAACGGCTGCAAAAACAACTGATTGTACTTTTCCTGCCAAGAAACATAGAAAATGCTTCTTTTAAAAGGTTTCACATACAACACAGAAAATAACAAAAGCTAAACTGCTTCTCCGATGTGCCATTTTCTACGGTATGATTTTTGCTTTCATCTCCTGCAACATATTTGGTAGAAAGCACTAAATTCAAAGTAAACTCCCTGTTGTTGCAAAAAAAAAAAAAAAACAGCTATTTTTTTCTGACTCTAAACTTTCAGTTTGAATCTACAGCCCATATAGATTTTCCCAAAGCCAGCACACCTCCCACACACCTATATTAGCAGGATGCCAGTAGCTTAGTCATCGTAACTCTCTCTGAGGTTGTGCAGAGGAACACGAGAGAAAGAAAACTCTCATTTAAATGCAGACAAAGTGTTGGAAATGATCACCTCTTTAGCTCCTTCTCTGAACATCATCTCTCTGGTGCAGAGATGTTAATAACATTAACGGGATTAAACTTGCGCGATGCCTTTTCAGATGGAAATATACCTTCCAACCTCCAGTGGAAGAGAGCTGTGCAGTTGTGTGACTCAAGGCTACGTTAAAGTACATCTCGCCTGCCGTTTCTATTTCACGCCACGTCACCTCTTCTCTCTGGCTTCTCATTAACCCGCCAAGCCTTCAGAGGAGCTCCGGGCCAGAGCTGCAACTGCTTCTTCGGGGCGGGTCGAGTGCAAATCCGGCTGCTGCTGACGTTCTGCAAGCTGGGGAATTGAGATGGAAGTCATACGGCAGCACAAACCGAAGCAATCTAGAGCGCTTGCGTTTAGAGCTGCTTTGGGTAAACGGCCGCATGGAGCTTGGCGATAAACACGGGAGGCATGAACCGACTGACCCAGATGTTTTAAATAGGTGCAGATTCCAAATCGGTACGATTTGATTCCTACAGTTCAATGTTGTTTTGATGAGATTGGAGCGCAGAATAAAGCATTGCTTTCCTTTCCCCGTCTGCTGCTGTGCACTGCTGATCAGCCAGCTGAAAGAAGGCACTTGCTTCCCCCCCCCCTCGTTTACAAGAAAGTCACATTTTTGGAAATATACAGGGTCTCCCCCAGAAAATCTGCTAAGCCCGTTGGTAGGAGCCCATCGTGTTTCTGTGTTTTAGTTTCAGAAATTCAGAGGTGGATGAGCAGGCATCATATTTGGAAAATTATTATAGCATGTGAGGCCAATGGGCAGGAGCTCAGCTCAATGCGGTCATTATAAACCGAGCTAAATCCGTCTTTACTGTCACTGTTACTGGTGTATAAAAAGTCCCTATTTAAAATACATAAACAAGGCTTAGTCAGGTGGGAGGGGGCAAACAAAGCCTGGTGGTCTGCCAGGCTTATTATACAGCAGAGGAAACCCTGCCAATTTAACCATAGCCTGTCAGTCTTCAGGGTTTCTCCCAGAAAACTTGCTAAGACCCATTGCTCGGGACCGCAGGACAGTCGTCCACCCGGCTGCAGTGTTTTTGAATTAAAGTATTTCAAGTTGACAGAAAATTTGAAGATATTACTTGATAGTTATGCATTTTTGGAAGACTGGGAGATTAATACCTAAACGCCAACTACAAAGTCTTAAAAAAAAGTCAATAATTTAATAAAACCTAAGATAAATTAACAATGCTAAGCCTGGTGGGGGTACAAATAAAGCCTGGTGGCCCACCAAGCTTACATTACATTGAGTGAAACCCTGAGTCTTATACATATTACGCTCTTTAAAAACTACAGCTGGTAAGCTACAAGCAGCGTGTCTGGTTAACGGCTGACTGAGAGTGCTACAGAGCAGATAGTCCTACTACCAACCTGCTCATATCGGATTATTACATTTGTTTTAGTCTGCACAGTGAAGATTAAAAATAATACAATTGTGCTCAATAAGCTTTTGAAAACAAGTGTTTAATTTAGCGGGTGTTTTTCAATGTTTGTTCAAATTAGCGTCGAAACACAAAGTTAAGTGTAGTTTTTGTGGTTTGAACAAAAGCAGCCCAATGACCTCAAACGAGATGACAGTTTTGATAATCCTATCAAAACATAGCACTATGTGTGGCTCCAGCTGAACCTCACATAGACCTAATGCAATCAAATGCAATTGTCCTTTAAGCCCCATCGCCATCTACCGATCCTCAGCAAGATGGTGTAAAGAACAGCATAGCCTACTTTTCCAGACCCCCTCCCGCCGCGCCCCCACCCAGCCCCACCACCACCACAGCCGAGAGCATTTCCCAGGGTAGCGGCGCTCTGCAGTGAGCTGTCCTTGGTGCTGAATTCAGCTCTCTGCTTTGTAGTCACGGCCCAGCAGCAGCCTGAGAAGCCTATTTTTCCTCAGATGCCGAACAGGTTTGATGTCATGACGCCAAGGATAACACATGCCAGGTCTAAATTTAGTAATCTCTCCCTAAAATTTTTCTGTTTATCAGTTCACTTAATGGTTAGATCTTTTTCTTCTGCTGTTGTTTTTCATTTGGACGTTTGTCGACAGAGGCTGGCATGTTGGCATTGGGTAAATTTAAAATGGGCTTAGAAAGTAATGGGGAAATTACAGAGCTGATTTTTGCTGCACTCTTTTCATCGACCTAAAGGGAACATGGCTGATTTAGAGCAGTTTTTTTTTTGTTTTTTTTTTAGTAATTTATCAAGAGACGACTACAAATATAGCTCATTGAGAATGTTGAAAGTTATTCATTTTTGTATATTTAGCTCATTGTATTTTTATCCACACAGCACTTGATTTCAAACACTTGAGTGAAGAGATGTACAGTATTTTAAGGATCCTTCCTGTTTGCATAACCATCCAGAGCATCCTCTGGAGATCTAGTACAATTTTTTTTTCCTCAACCAAAATTTCACCTTGCTACTCATGAGGGGCTTAACTTCTCTCCTTTACCAAAGAAGGAGGGAGTTTTAAAAGATACCTTGAGTCAGGATTTTGCAGTTGGTTTCCTGCTGCTTACTTCCTGCAGTTGGTTGCTCTTCAGGCTACAAACGTGGACGTTATTAGCTCCTTCTTTTTTTGACCGTCCCTCCTCTCAGTCGTCTGTCGGTGCCTCTTCGACTGTGGCCAGCTCAGCGTTTGTCATCAGCTTTCCAGCCCTGATGCGAGGAGGAGAGCAAAGCCTTCTTGCCTTTCTCGCGCCAAACTCTCGATCCTTTTACCCCGACTCTTCGTCTTGCATCATCTAGACCCCTTAGCTTTTCTTGCTACACGTCACTGGAAGTCCTGGGTCTTAAGGAGAGGTTGGATGGGACGCACCCACAGCAAGCCATCCACAGAGACTTCTGGATATCTGGGTTTCGGAAAGCATAGATGACGGGGTTGATCACGGAGCAGCAGGTGGCTGGGAGGACGGTGGCGTAGGTGTATATCATGGGGTAGCTGGAGTCGGCCACAATGGAGTACATGGCAAATGGCAGCCAGCACACCCCGAAGGCACACAGGATGGCCGACAACGTGGAGACCCCTTTGGTGGTGGAGATGGCCATGAACTGGTGTTGTACCGCAATCTGCTGTGCGTGGCGGAATGCGATTTTGCAGATCTGAAGGTACAGCTGCATCATGAGGGCAAAGACGAGGAGGAAGGTGACGGCGAGCGCCACCGCATTGTTTTTGGTGACCGGGCGACAGATGCTGCACGTAGACTGGTCTTTGAAGCAGTTCCATCCGAGTGCCGGCAGCAGGCCCAGAGTGACACACGTCACCCAGATAAAACCCACCATCATGTAAGTGAAAGTGACTGTCCGCTCGGTGTGGTAGGTCAGGGCGTTATACAGCGACAGGTAGCGGTCAACCGTAATGGCGAGGATATTAAAGACGGAAGCGGAGAAGGCCGAGATGAGAAGTCCGACTGACAGCAACGTCACAAATTCTACCGAGCTGTCGATCAAATAGGTGAAGACGAAGTTTAAGATGAGGCCCAGACCAGCCAGAAGATCTGACACGGCTAGCGATCCGATCAGGATGAACATGGGCCCGCGAAGTGTCGGTGTGTAGAACAGCACAGCGATGACCAAGGCGTTCTCGCAGGAGATGAGCGTCCCCGTTACGCACAACGCAATATCCCAAGGGCTGACTTCCTGCACGGTCCCAGCAGTGGTCGCCGGCTGGAGGTCCGGAGTCAGAGTTCTCAAGAAGGGCTCCGAAGAAGAGTTGGAGGGATCCTCGCTTACGCTCCAAGACGTTGAGGAGTCGAATGGGTCGAGGGGGGAGGAAGTGTTGAAGCCGTTGCCACCACCGCCGCTCATGGCTGCTGCGGTGGCAGCCAGGGTGAGAACCATAGCTGGAGGAAACAAGAAACAAATAGGAAGGAAGGAGGGAGGTAGAAGTATATAAGTTCAATGGCAGAAGAATGAAAGACAATTGTGCAGGACATTACCAGAGACAGAAAAGCAAGATTGAAAAGCACAGTTCATTAAATCATAAACTAGAGAACGAAGCACGTTTGTAAAGTGTGATGGTAATATGATGCTTCCAATTAGCATTTTGAAGAAAATGAAGAAAATATGTTGTGGGAATGAAAAACAGGCAAAAAGTAAGAATAGCAAGTAAATGCATTATTAACTGTTTTTTATGAAGAGAAGGGATGTAACAAGAGCTTTTGACATGAGATCTTATAATATTAGAACACGACTCTATTTCTTGTTAAGTAAGCTTTCCCTTGCAAAATATGGATGCCTTTTTGCTAGTTGTGTGTATTCCAACAGGACAAATACTGCCAGGGGGGTTGAAGTCAACCTGCCCTTGTTCAAATCTACATTGTGAAGCAATGTAACAGTAGCCTCAGGTTTCTGACCTTTATTCCGTTTTTTAAAAAAATCATCTTTGACTTACACAAACTAGTCAGGCTTGCCTTGAAATTTTCCACGTGACTTACATGTATAACAGTAAATGTTCGCAATGCATTTACTCTGTTTAGGAAAACCAAAACGAAAAAAAAACGCTAAAATATCATCCTGCAAACAGAATATTGAGAACCGTCTCACCTAATGAGCAGGATGTATCATCACATCCCTAATAAACTGGTAAACAAAACAGTCGTTTCTACCCACCCAAATATTCATTCATGAAAACAAGCATCTACTTGACCCTTAAGCACCCACGTTGCAGTCCAGCTCCCACTCCCACTCCTGACGTTTTTTTTTTTTGTTTTTGTTTTTTTTACAACACCAAAACAGCAGGTGTGGACACTCTCTCCCACACACGCGCACACACACGCGCACGCACACACACACACACACACACAGGGATAGAGGTATTCCTTCCTTTTCGGCTTGTAGGGAACCTGACACAGACAACACAATTAAGCCCCCCCACTTTGCGCCATCGCAAGCCTTAACGCATCGCAGCCCCTACCTGTCAGATGCGGAACAGAGTCCAAGGCTCTAGTTTTCATACAGAACCGAACCGTCTTCACCCCATTCTATTTTTAGAGCATCTCCAAAAATGGTGCATGACGTCCCGGGGCACGGCGCAGCGTTGGAGCTGCTGTTCTATTCACCGGCGGCGTGGACGTGAGCGCGCAGAGAAGCGTGTGCGCGTTAGCCTCTCTCCGCCCCCCTCCCCCCCCCCCCCACCACGGTCCCCACCAAAAAAAATAAAAATAATAATAATCAATAAATAAAAATAATAATTTCGGATTCTGATCCACATCACACGCTGCAACCGCGCTAATTTTAGAGCCGCGAGCTCAGAGGGAGCGGAGTTTCATTCATAAAAAAAGGGTAAAAAAAAATCAGCTCTCACACACACTCTCTCCTCCCTCGCCAACTCAATTTCCTCCACACACCCCTCCGCCCACTCCTCTTCCATGAGCCTCCACTCACGCGCGGAGGCTCATGCACGCGCACACCACATCAATGACTGCAAAACGGCCAAGGGAAGGTCGTCGGCGGTGCGCCTCGCGTGCTCTCCGTGGCGGCGGGGTTCGCTCCCCGCGGTAACGGCTAATTAGCATGCGCCGAAACACAACAAAACGACGTTCCGCTCGTTACGCGCGCGCGTGTGCCTCTCTCCGTGTGTGTGTGCGTGTGTGCGTGCGTGCGTGTGTGCGTGCGTGTGTGTGTGTGTGTGTGTGTTTAGCGAGAGAAAGTGTGAAGAAAAAAAAACAGAAAAAGAGTGTACCTTGAACCGTTTCAGTCAGCTGCAGCAGTGCGGTCCCTGAGCCAGCGAGAGGGGGCATGCGGGGAAGGATGGAGAGGAGGAGGGGGGGATGCTGGAGAGAAAGTGGGAATGGAGGGGAAACCATGCCGCCGAGATGGAAGAGGGAATTTTTTAAAAAATGTACCAGCTCCTCGTCCTTTTCTTCCCCTTGAAGGAACCGGGATGCCTCTGTCGCTCCTCTCTCCTCCTTTGAGCGACTGTTGTGTCTTCTTTCAGGGTTTCCCTCCTTGTCTTTCTGCTGCCTCCCCCCCCTCACCCCCTCTCTTCTTCCTCGGTGCCCCCCCGCCCCCCTAGTCAGCGGCGCGCGCGCTATATTCTCCGGTTGGCATGGTTATTAGCCTTCTCTTCGGCGAGCTCCGTCCTCGCGCTGCTCATCCCCGGCCTCCTTATTGGTCGCGCGTGTCGTTCTCCCGGTCTGACGTCAGAAGTCTCCGCTTGCTCCAGTCGCCGTCTGCATGGTCGGCGTGTGAATCACGGCGAGAAGCAGAGCGTGCGCTCAACTCGCTCACCTGAGCCAAACAGTTTCACTCATCCTCTGGAGCGGCGCGCTGATTTAACTCCGCGCTCGTCGCGAATCAAAGTCGAACAGGAAAGTGCGCGTGAATTTGACTCGAAACATAATTTTGCCCCCCCCCCCCCCCTCTCTCTCTCTCTCTCTCTCTCTCTTTCTCTCTCTCTCTCCTTCCACCACAACACATGTAAAAGCACCAGGAGCAGCTAACAGTACTTTCTATAACCGCCATAGTGGAGGGATGATGCTTTACATTATGCAACCTCGGAGCTGCCTGAATGTATCCCACTGCATCAATTCGTGGGGGCGCGTGGGGGCGCGAGCAGTCGTTGCCTTTTCGCGGGCTGGTTCCATACGTGGTGTCGGGTCGCCATATCTGCGTCTGCTGGCCAGCTACTCGTCAGCAGCACGCTTTGCTTCCCCTGCGGCCTTCGTGTTGCTTGCATCAGAGTTACGGCAGTGAATCGCTGTTCTCTTGTCTTTGATGTGTTTTCGTCCTGCTCAGCCGCTTTCTGCCTATATGCATTTGCGGTGATATATAAAATAATAAAAAAAAAAAACTTTTGTCTTTGCTGTTGATTAGATTCTAAAGGCAGTAGACAGTTAATCCGAGTGTGGAATATGGTAGAAACAAAGGTTAGTGTTTATGCGATTCTCATCTCACTTCACTGCTCTGTCGCAGCTTTCTCCCATTGACATGAATTCCTGACGGCGAGTCAGAGTATTGGTGAACGACGAAACCTATGACGTCGATTTCATTTGCTGTTTCACAATTGTAGCCTGCCTGTAGTTTTAGCAGCGACAGCGGAGGAAACGAACAGTCATGAATTGACCAATTCCTAGTCAGGAATTGGTAAACGACTAAATTTTTTGCCAAACCTTTTATTGGTGTTACAAACTCCAAAAAAATCAAAGTACATATTTTGTTAATATTAATAAAACAGACTTAGACATCAGTGTTGACAGGCGACACCAAACATTTGTTTTTGGACCCCGTTTTTATTCACCAAGCGAAAACAGTTTTGATGAAACAGCAACTGAAATTGGGATATTTTCACAGCTACTGAAATCAACTAAAACAACAAAATTTCCAATAAAAGTAAACTTCGTAGATGTATGGGCTGCAAACCTGCCTCCCTATTCCTTCTCTTAACCTTTCTCAAGTCTCTTCAACGCACGTAGTGTCAGATACCCCTCGTGAGCAACAGCTTAGCTTTCCCATGTCGTGGTCCGGCTCTGGCTGTGGCCCAAATGCAATCAGACAGAAGACGTCTCTGGGGTGAGAAGAGGGTGTGCGCTTAACACTGCGATCTCTTGTTCAGTTAATATGGTATAATACCAGGACAATTACAACACACAGCAGAAATGAAAAGATACAGAGTCTCTAGAGGATTGTCATAATGAGCCTGTAGCCACTTTAATAATGACCACAATTTGTTCAGGGACAGGACCGTTCCCAGAAAGACTAATTGAGCTGCTTTTGGAAAAGCATGTTGTATTAATCATAGTAAATTAAAATAATCTAAAAAAAAAATGAAATAAAATATACAGTGTGTTTATCTGTAAATATAATTTTTATTAAATTTCTTTTACAATGTTTGGTGTTGGGCTGAAATATGATTTTGAGTTTTATCTATGACTAGCTCACATTGTGGCATTATGCTGGTCTGAGTTCCATCATCTAGATGTGTTTTCCTACTAAATCTGCAATGAGCAACACGTTCATCTCACCGTGGGCACAAATTGACCTGAGTGACAGACGAGTAGTTCACCTCAAGTCTCACTAGTTGGGTTTCCATGAGCTCTACAATTGGGCAAATTGAAGTTGAAAAAACGAATTTGCCTAAGGGAAAAACAGGTTTTTTTGATTAAGAAGCTTCTTTTGCTGGGACGAGGCACTGACCTTCAAGAATATTACGTCCCTCTCAAGAAATAATAATAAAAAAGTATATATTTTACGTGACTTTAAATGAGTCTGGATTTTATCCATAAAAAACAGAATAAATCGTCCTGGTCAGAAACATAAGCGGCTCTTTGAAGGTTTTCTGCTGCACGGGGAGAACATGAGGTTTGTGGCTGCAGAAGGCCTGTTCTTCACCAGCGTTCAGGTGAAGAACAGGCAGGAAATCCCTGAGCTTCTCCAACACAAACATTTATACTCGTGTTTGTCTCTCTCTTTATTTTATTTCTTTTTTTTATTATTTTCTAGCTGCGCTGTGTGAGTCATCCCATCTCTTTTGGGCTTTTTTTTATTATTATTATTAAACCTACAAAAGGATATAAAGATGGAGCCTTCAGTTTCTTTTAACACAAATCATTCATGCACATACACAAAGTCTTGCCTTTTTTTTTTTCTTACTTTGTGCATGAAAACCCCCCCCCCACACACACACACACACACGATGAGAATACAGATGAAATGGCTGTGTGTATTTTCATTGACTGCCTCTCTGTATCTGACTTCATTCATCTTTCCAGCAAAGCACCCTGGGTAACGGTGTGCCATTACATCACCTTGCTGTTTTGGCATGCTTTTTGCAGCAGATAGCTGGTCAGTCTTACTCTCTCCGCCTCATCTGTCTTCAAATGAGTCTACACACACACACACACACACTCTCAGACGCCTTTTTTTTTTTTTTTTTTACAGCAATGACGGTGCAGACCGAAGTGGGGCCGCTTTACGCAGCGCTGGTGCATCCCAGTGTGGGCTTCGGTTCTGTTCCTCCTCTGAGATGAAAGACACCAGAGGGCGGGCGCTTTACACTGAGGAATCTGAATTGCGTAACTCCTTCACATTGAGGGCGGTGGCGCATGGTTGCGCTTACGTCGCGTTGAAAGAGTCGTGATGCAGCTTCGGCTGATGTGGGAGCGGGAAAAAAAAAAGGAAAGAAAGAAAGAAAGATATGACAAGGACATCCAAGTGTATTTGGCTTGACTGCGCTTTAAAATCCCACAAAAATAAGAGGATTGGGCCGAATCCAAACGCGGCGCGCACTCGGCTGGGAGAGTGTCAGCAGTGAAAGTGGATGACTAATGCAACTCCCACCCTCACATTCCCTCCCCCTCGTTTCAACACCAAGTCAACCTCCTCCACTTGCATCATGAAGCAGAAACTGGGCTTCCCTCAAGTGTCGGGTCCAAATGAATCCACTCTAAGGGCTGCTGTTGTGGGGCATGACAAATACTGCCAGGGGGGTTGAAGTCAACCTGCCCTTGTTCAAATCTACATTGTGAAGCAATGTAGCAGGTGTCTAATCTTTATTCCATTTTTAAAAACAAAACAAAAAAAACTAGTCAGGCCTGCCTAGAAATCTTGCAGTCCAGCTCCCACTCCCACTCCTGACGTTTTTTTTTTGTTTTTGTTTTACAACACCAAAACAGCACGTTTATTTTACTGCGAGTCCATCCTCGTAATGTTACGACTTTATTCCTTTTTTTAAAAGTACAATCCTGAAAACCTCTGAAGGAGCAGACAGTTGCATCCTCCCCTTACATCTAAAACATTTAGAGCACCAACATTTAAAACACTGCCACATTAAAAGGTTTTCATTCCCTTTTTATTTGTCAGTTTCCTCCTGTTGCGCCGCTAAGCTACTTGGGTGAATCATCGCTTCCATTGTCGTCGCTTTCCAACGTCGGGGAATGGAGCATGCATTATTCAGCTGGCTGCTGCAGGATTATGAGGAGGACGCTGACTTTTCGGGGCCCAACAAATCCCCGCAGCCACTGTCGGGATGTGTGATCTGCTAGTTAGCGGCAGCTCCGGGGAGCCGCAGCTCCGCTTTGATTAAAGGTCTCCCTGAAAGGTCAAGAGGGAGAGGAGGCTGAAAGGGTGCAGGAGAGCAATTTGATGGACCACAGAGAACCTTTGGTTGATGTAAATTCGCCTCTTTGCTGTCAAAGCGAAGCTTGAAATGAGTCGGCACACCGCTGTGATAATAATGGGTTAGCCCGCCAGTGCTATTAAAAACTTCTCCCTTTGAAAGTTTCGCATTTACTTAGATGTCTGTCGGTTTTATTCAGCACAAACAGCCAGGGTAAAGTGTTCACTAAGTAGCTTTAAGCCATCAGAGTTCGAGTTCAACCCACCAAACAGATCTAATGTTAACTTTCAGACTGAAGGTAGGCCTCACCTGGACACAAGTCTTTTTGTTTTAAGGACATGTAAGCCTGATTTGAAGTTGTGAAAAAAAATTGGGCCCCTCATAAATTTTAACATTGCTCAGGACACCTTTCTAGCCACCTTCACCTTCTGAGACACATAAAGATGGTTACAAAGACAGCCTTTTATCACTTCAAGAACATTTCCAGGATTAAAGGACTAATATCCCATTCAGATCTAGAGAGAAACTCATACAGCTGATTCAGAACTCTGCTGCTTGTGTTCTCACTAAGACCAGTAAGACAGAGCACAACACTCCACTTCTAAAGCCCCCACACCAATATAACCCAGTGTGTTATAAAGGTCTGATCAGCTGGTATTTTGTTAGGTCAGTTTGGTTTTGTTTGGTCATTCACATTTTTTTGTGTTAGTTCAGTCTTATTTCTCTGATCTCTTACTGTAAATTTTTTTTCTTGCAAATATCATTTTGGGATAAAATTAAAATCTGTCACTCCTCTTGTTTTAATCTTGGTCCATCTCACAGAGGCTCTCTGGATGAAGCCACCAGGTCCAGATGCTAGACAGCTGGGCTGGATTTTGTCC